AGGAAATTGAAATCACCACATGGACATGTTAACAACACATAGTCACCTGAAGGGGTCGCTGAGTGGGAGACGTGTCACTTGTACAGTGTTATTTCCTTATTATGCCACTACGCTGCACTTACTGGCGTGTTTCAGAATAGACATAATGACTGTATAATTATATTCACTGGCAACATTTTGTGCCAGAGCAGGAAGTGCTGCGTGTTCACATACAGAAAGTCTCAGCGAAGAAAGCGCAGAGACGAGTGTGGGCGCGCCAAGTGTGAGTTGTACACAGAGGATGCATCTTCTGTTGTGATTTAAGTCAGCGTTTACTTGTTCAAACAAAAAGTGTTAGCTGAACACAACATATAAGCCACAAAAGTGGATAAATGTGTGTGTTTGTAATCCATTCATGGAAAAAAAGGAGAGCTTGGTATTGTTTGCAGCTTAGTTTGTTAGTGTCAATCTGCTAGAAATAAAAGTCCTGCTGTTTGCTTGCTGGGCATATGGAAATGAAGCCTTTTACTTTTTCCCCCCATCTTGTCTCTAGCAGCGCATCCAAAATGCTTGTCGTGATCGTTTGAAGCTGCCACAGTGAAACTGCCAACTCACTGCATCGAGACAAGATAGAAAAGAAAAAAACAGACCATATCCTCTTCTTGGTTGTGTCGCTCTCAGAGGAACTCTGATTCAGACAGCTCCATCTGGGTGTTGCGTTCTGCAAACATTTGCATGTTTGATGTTAGGACAGTGTTAGCTTTCAGCAACTGTTTTTGGTTCCTGAATAATACAGTGATGGTGGAACTGGTGTCTCACCAAATGACATTATTGCTGCAACGGTTGGGGGGAAAAAAAACGACACAGCTTATATTGAACTGGGTTTAATCCTCGTGTGTTTCTTCAGCTCTGAGGTGTCTGACTAGAGCTCTGAAGCATACCAGCAAGCAAAACACAGCGGTCATGGCAGCATATGACTCGAACACAGTCCTCACAGCCGCTGGGAAGTCGGGATGTGAAAACGCTGACTGGCCACGCCCCAGGTGGACATAAACCAGCAGATGTATCTGAGTGGCCCGGCGGCCCTGCAGCCAGCAGTAGTAGACGCCTAAACAGTACAGCACATTTCAGTCACATTAAACAACCTTCAACTGCACAGACACGTCATTATTTTATATAGATTATGGTATAATAATTAAATATTATTCTGTATTAATAATATGCTATGTATAAAATATGAAGGCTCCATAAATCACTTTCATTCATATGTTCAAAACTTTCTGCACTCCAAGTGGTTTCTTTGGTCCACATTTTACTCATTGTGGGTTCATTTTTCCCTGCAATATGAACGACTAAAAGAAAGAGAACAACCGTGACTAGCAGAGACCCCATCTCCTCTGTGCTAGCATGCCCTGCAGTTCAGCCGAAAGGTTCGACATTTTTGGTCGCTGGCTTGTTGGCAAACTTTTAAATGAGACGTGCAATGTAAAGAGAGTTTTGTGGTTTAGATGGTTAAAAGTAAGAACATTTGAAGAGTTCATTTGCAAAATCAGGTCATTCCATCTTCCCAAACCTTCAGAAAACCCACTTTTCCATCGTCTACCTGAGACAATATCAATCAACCTAAAGTTATCTCTATTTTAGTCATGTCATTTCTACTGAGTCAAATCCACTCAACTTCAGTTTGATTGATATCATCTCAAGCAAACAACAAAAAAATAAGTTATCTGTTTTTTGCAAATTCCTCTTCATTTTAAAAAAAATCACGACAGTAAAATTCGTGGTCTGGGAGGAGAAGATGCAACATGAGGTCGGGTGTGGTGGTTGTAAATGAAGCTTGCAACTAAGATTTGGGTGAATTTTCAGCAGAACAGCAGTTCAAGGATTGTGCGAAACATGATGATTCCCTCTGATTTTCATTGTGAGGTCTGTAAGCCAGCGGCATACTGTTGGAGGACGGTTGTTGCATTACTGTGGTTGGTACCTGAGTCTTGAATTTTTGCCGGTTGAAACACGAGGTGGTGCCCGGTGTCTATCATCAGCCTGGAAGGCGGGGCGCTGGGGTTCCCGCCTACTAAGTGCTCAGATCGGTAGATGGGTGTAGATCCTTGATCCCAGGCCACGGCCATGTTGGGACGCGCCCCGTGGCACCTCAGGATGAGAACTTGGCCCGCTGGGTGGCTCAGGTAGAACACCTTCGCTGGCAAGGAGGCAGAACTACAACACGGATTCATTATATTAGATCACATTCGTCACAGCGCATCAGAAAATATCTACAGCAAACACAAGCACTCAGACTTATGGTTTTTCTGATTGGTGTTATCCACTGATCTTATAATTACCGTCTCCACCAGGCCAAATGATCCACTGGAACAAAACATTATAAGGTATCTTGGAGATGAATGGTTGTATTTTGCTGCGGTTGGAGGCTCCAGTATTTATTGTCAGCCTTGTTAAGGATTTACCAATAACAAAACCTTCATTGTTTTTGCCCCGTGGCACTTTTGTATTGTTTTGTTGTAAAGAATACTGCAATCTCTACATGCTGATTGCACGGCTTTGTCTTGCTTAAATATTGATGAGTGAAATGATTATTTAATGATTATAGCATTTAAAAATCTCTTTGCCCTCAAACTCTTTTCCGCTTTGTTCGTGCGGGGAAAATCTGCCCACTGCCTGTCTGCTGTGTGCACCGGACATGTGCTCACCTGTATCCAAGAAATGTCAGCAGAGCGAGGAGTTTGGAAGATGGAGGGGGTTGAGTTGGACAAGTCACTTGACAGCTCTTGACCCTCAACTTAGCTCCAGTTTTGCGTTGCTTCAGGAGGCCAAAAGCTCTGGGAACGGCCCCCGACCCGCATGAAGCCACCGTCTGATTGGCCCGTCTGTAGCGCACATGCAGGTAGCGGGAGTGGATGTAGCAGAGTCCCACGCGGACCTGCTCTCCTGGAACACCACAGCGATCGCACACCGACCAGGGCCGGTAGCTGGTGAAGACTCGGTACAGCGGCTGAGAAGAAGCGAGTCTTTCAGCCTCTTGTCTTCTCTTGTTCATCCTTTCCGCAGTGAGTCTGGGAGCAGGAAATCAGAGGATTGTCATTGGTTACAAAAGACTTTAAGTTTGTCAGAAAAATTCAAAACAACTTGAATTATTTGTTTGAGTTTCTGTTTTTTAAAAATGACATTTCCATGCTTTCTGCTCCTTAAGTTGTCACACAACCCTGAATTATTTGACAAGTACATGGAAACAAGTCAAGTCACTGTTATTGGTACGGCACATTTGAAGCAACAGTTGTGGCACCAACATTATTTCCAGCAGAAACAAAATATGTTACAAATCAACCTAACAAATTTGAATACTGATTTTAAGACCCTACCGCACTATTTAATGTGAGAATTTACCCAATCGAGGTGCAAAAACCTACAAAAATGACACAAAATACAACTTTTCCTGACTATGATAGCAATGAAGACTAACACCCTACGGTATTATAAACTGTGGTTAACCTAACAAATTAAAAAATAACATCCTACAGTGTTTTTAATTATGAAGACTAACCTGACTAATTTGGAATTAAATTATTGATCATATATATATATATATATGTAAAGAAAAAAAAGTATTTTAAACCCAACAATCAAGGGTTAGCTAGATTCCCTATGAGTGGGCCGTGTTTTTTACTTTGATGTGCGTTATATTGTGTTGCATATATATAAATAGATTTGATTGTTTTTTTATTTGCATTTGCGACAGTGAAGAGGAACCCTTGTCACAGATGGAGACCTCCAGCAACAGGGTCAAGTACAAACATATCCATAATTCATGTTGATGCTTTTCACGGTAGCGTTCAAAGCGCAATTTCGACCAATGGGAGACTGGATTATTTTCATTTGTATTACAAAACAATGTGCAGCAGCATTGGTACCTTACAAAGTTTTCATCTTTGACATTGGATGGATTCTATAAGTCACTGTTTTGCCCATCATCATGACAACAGAGAAGACTCAGATGTTTGGCATGATCATAGGTAATGCTTAGAGAGGCATGCTAGGGACCAGGAGTTCACATACACTGTATAAAAAGACATAAAACCTGTTTTTTCCTCAATGTCTGACATTAAATCAGACTTGTTTTATATCAGTTAGGATTACCAAAGTTATTTCTATTTGCTAAATGCCAGACTAATGAGTAAAAGAACATTTTGTTACTTTCATCAAAGTCAGAAGCTTAAGTTCAAGTATTTGCGAGGTTTGCTTTCCGACTGTATGACTTGGGTCAAACGTTTTGGGTTTCCTTCCACAAGCTTCTCACAATAGTTTGATGAGTTCTGGTCCATTCCTCCTGACAGAACTGGTGGAACTGAATCAGGTTTGTAAGCCGCCTTGCTCCACACACCTTTTCAGCCCGCAGATTTTCGACAGGATTGAGATCAGGGCTTTGTGATGGCCGCTCCAAAACACTGACTTTGTTGTCCTGAAGCCTCTTTGTAACTAATCTGGTGGTGTGTTTAGGGTCATTGTCCATCTGAAGACCCATTTGCACCCAAGCTTTAACTTCCTGGCTGATTTATTGAGATGTTGCTTCAATATTTCCACATAATGTTCTTTCCTCATGATGCCATCTATTTAGTGAAGTGCACCAGTCCCTCCTGCAGCAAAACACCCCCACATGATGCTGCCACCTCCGTGCTCCACAGTCAGGATGGTGTTCTCAGGCTTGCAAGCTTCCCCCTTTTTCCTCCAAATGTAACGATGGTCATTATGGCCAAACAGTTCTGTTTTAGTTTCAAGTTTAGTTTCATAACTCAAATGTTGTCAATTAACCAATCAAAAGCTTCCAAAGCCAGGGTATCATTATCTGGGCTTTCCCAGATAGTTTGAAGGCACAGTAATCTTAGTTTATGTAAACTTCTGACTTCGAAGTCAAAAGTTCTCGCTCATTATTCTGGCATTTAGCAAATAGAAATAATTTTGGTAATTCTAACAGACCTAAAACAGGAAAGTTTAGTCTGATTTGATGTCAGACAGTGAGAAAAAAAATAAATAAATAAAAAGGGTAATATGTCCTTTTATACAGTAAACTTCTGGCTTCAACTGCATAGAATTGATTTTTGGTGTCAATGTATTTTTACTGAATAGCAGTTGTACTCAAAATAACATGCGTTGTTATCTTTAGGGTCATATTTTGACAAATTAAATGCTTAATTTCTAATACAGTCATAGACTTTTTCATTACCTCGGAGCGATGCTGAGCGTGAGAGCTTCCTGGATGTCCAGGTCATAACCATAGAAGAAGTCCTGGTGAGCGGAGCCGCAAATGTAGATGCCCGAGTCGCCTGGTCCCGCTCTGAAGATTAGCAGGCTGAAGAGCCGGATGGAGAATCGACTCCACAGGTCGCCGCTGTGAGGAACCTGACTGGAGTCCAGCAGCTTGTTGCCATGGTGATCTGTCAAGGCTCTGGTCTCCTCGGAGGTGCTCAAATGTTTCCTAAAGAACCAGACGACCGATTGGACCTGAAACACATAGGAAAGAATAGAGCCGACATATAAGCGCCGTTTCGTTGATCGACACCGGAGATTTACTTTAGTAAATGCAGAGTTGTGAGTCTCTCTGTTGTTGTAAGAAGAATACTCGTATTACTACAAATAGAAGTCTTCTTCAAACCCTCCTCTTTGTCTGGACTTTTTTAATATACAAACTCGCAAAGTCATAGACTTCAAAAAACAAGAGATCAAAAGTCTTTCTGCTGAGTGTCACAGCATTCTCCACTTTGACTTTAACATCATGCACAGGGCGACTTACATCTGTTTCATTGGCTTTAAATCATTCATACCTCAGCATGAAACATAAACAAACAGGAAATATATTCATTGAAATGCTGTTTCTATTGTACGACATTTAGTTAATTCTTATCTCAGCATATTACATTTTTAAATGTAGTTTTATTTATCCTATTGTACCGTTCTGTTTCCAACTGCTCTACCAGCCTTTTTTTTTCAAATTAAATTGAATTATATTGAACATCAATGTCTAAATGTTTAAATCACTTTTTAACAAAGCTATATTCTTTTTAGAAATGCTAAGATTAAACTCATCCAGCATTTCAGATCTATCTTGCAAAAAACTGTGTTCCTATAAAACCAAACTGAATTCGCAATTACATCTTGAGGGAAACATACTTTCAACCAGATTATTTGTAACATATCAAAATTACATTCCTAATCAACATATGTTCATTGTATTGCTTTACTGTACTTTCTGTTTCGCAGGACTCTTGATCGTGGTAGCCCAGAAAATAGAGGAAAAGCTTCAAACACGTAGGAAAAGGGTCGTATTTTGACTCATACCCCGATATGCTGGTAAATATAACCTAGTCAAAAAAAAATTAAAACCTAACTATGCACTTTTGCTGTCTAAAACTAATCAAACAGTGGCTGGAAGCAAAATTTAGATCTAAGAAAAATGGTCCCACACAATAAGCATTCTGCTGGATGAATGTTCTGTTGCTGAAAAGTATGTTTCACAATTCAATTTCTTTTAAACATACATGAGCTGTTGAGTTGTATTTTAACATATTTTTTGGGACTGAGGTTGAACATTTCACAGAAATACTTGTGCTTAGTTTGAATAAATCAATGAGAAATGAACACGACAGAGATGCTGCACAGAAGTGTACATGACATCATGGTCAGTCCACGCTACCTGTTGGGGTTTGCAGTGGCACGGCAGCTCCACGGTGACTCCTGCCAGGTAGGCAGCGTTGATGAAGGTCAGAAAGGCAGGACAGGCTTTCTGAGCAAACACATCCTGCTTATCCTCCGGAGCCTCATAGCTCCACACCTGTGGAGACAGCAGCAGCAGCAGGAAGAAGAGGAGGAGGAGCGGGGAGAAGGATTTAAAAAGCATTAGGCTTCTCTGAGGAGAAGAAAAGCGTTCATCTGCGTTACCAAATTCACAATTTCAATAAACTATGTCTGCGCAGTCTTAGAAACCTCCATTGTTTGTGTTTGTTTCAGTTCTAAAGAATGAAGCAAGCGCAGAGACGAGCTTACTTTCAAAACACGGAATCTGTTGCCAAAGCAAACATCTTCAGTCTCATTACATTGCCTGGAACGGAGGCAAGCCGCTTGTGTGTCAGAATTTTCCAGTGTCACTTTATCTGGCCGCCCTGCGATAGACTGGCTCCAGCCACCCGGCGTCGCTACAGAGGATGAAGTGGTGTAAAGATAGTGGACGGATGAAACGCATCTGGTCTGGGCTGCACTGAACACAATAAGCCCTCTGGTATGTGGGCAGTGTTGCTCCACGGTCTCAAATGATGTTATAAGGGAACATAAACTAAGTTCTGCTAAATACTTTCACTAAATGTTGAAAATTTTCTGGGTTTTTTTTCACCCATATAATAATTAAGGGATCTATATTTCCAGGCATACTGTATAACTTCCACAGCCATGATATTTAATAAAATGAAATGAAATGAAAAATACTTCAATCTTGTAAAAGCTCACTTAAAAAAAATAAAAAAATAAAAAAATCAATATAACATACATTTTACATTTACATTTTATTTTAATGAGGACACAGTCAAAACTGTTCAATTCCAGACGTCTGAACGATGAAATGGCTCCAACAGTGGCCAAATATTTAATTGCTGGCCCTTGAAATTAGAAAAAAAAAAAAGTGTGATTAAACACCAACTCTTGAGACCTCTAACATCAGTTGAATTTGTTGTCGGATACTTGTAGTAAATTGTCAGTTACTTGCTATTTAAACATGCAACAAAATGCCGATGTGGACTCATCTGTTGACCACCAATCTGGTGTGCATAGGGGGTCTATATATATCATCATTATCTGTTCAAATTTAACAACCTATGAGGCTTGTATTGCCTTATTGAATGTGATCATACTTTTACTTCTCTTGCCTCTGCTGCCCCCACCATGATGCCTCCTGTTACAAAAGGACAATAACTTCTAATAACTTGTTTAACTGTAAACTAAATTGTATAATTCATCCTACATCCACCCAACCGGTGGAGGCAGATGGCCGTCCCTCCCTGAGCCTGGTTCTGTCGGAGGTTTTTTTTTCCCCCTGTGGAGGTTTTCGGTTCCTTCCCACTGTTGTGGAATGCTGACGTTTATAGGGATTCCAAATGTTTGGATTGTTGGGTGTCTCTGCCTTCGATAAGCGCTATGAGATGACTTGTTGTTGTAAATATGCGCTATACAAATAAAATTGAATTGAGTTGGAGCCATTCAATCATTTGGATCTCCCAGAAACTATTTGTCTGTGTCCTTAATACAGTTCATGTCTGTGGGAGTTATATTTCTGGAAATATTGAACCCTTACAATGGCTTCCCAGGTAAGAGGTTTATTTGATAGTGAAAATACAAAATATTTCAGGTGAGAAAATGAAAGAAATTTTACAGAACTTAATTTTCGGTTGCCAATAAATAAACCAAATCAAAATCTGTGACAGCGGAACATGTTTCCTCAATTCTCTCTGAGCTGAGATGAACTGATGAGAACTCTCACCTCCTGCTCTATAGACACATTACCAAACATTTTGCTGATCAAAACTTGGTCTCAGATTTATAAATTACCAACACCACACTGCTACACACTGCCCCCTCTTTGTGCAGTGTATTCAACAGTCAAAGCAGTTCTTATTTCCTGCCAGGCTAATATCAGATATAACCCCTGCAGAGAAATATACAGCCGTGGCTCTGCTCTGGTGCGTTATGCAAATGATTAAAGCCATATATAAACTTTTATTACAGCTAGAAACCCAACGGTATGCGCTCCTTGTCAGACCTATAGCAGAGAAGTAGGCATACGCAGTGGGATGTAAATTGCCTTTTATTCCTTGATGTATTCTGTATATACAGTCAGGAGATATATTTAGATTACTGCGATATAACTGACATGTTTTCATGTGCGGATGAAGATTTCACCGTGATTTTAATGGGTTATGTCAGGGGTGTCCAATCCTGGTCCTCGAGGGGCCACGGTCCTGCATGTTTTAGATGTTTCCCTCTTCCAACACACCTGATTCAAATGATCAGCTCATCATCAAGCTCTGCAGAAGCCTGATAATGATCCTGATGAGGACTGTGGCCCTCGAGGACCAGGATTGGACACCCCTGGGTTATATTTTCTTAATCTTGGGTGTAGCAATGAAACCCACTTGAATACCAGACAATATCCTAGGGAACAAAATCGGATTTCTCTACAGTTTCTGCACATTAATAACAAATAAAACTAAAAGGCACATAAAACAAACACCGTAAAGTGCAAGTGGTATGAAGCTAATTAAAGCTCCATGAATAAATGTGTCTCATTTGGCTGAAAATGTATTAGTAAGTAAAAGCCGATACAAACTCTAATATAGCACACAACGACGAAAATAGATAACCTAAAAATGTCAACAGCAATGCAGCCACTAAGTGCAGCAGCAACTGGATGTAATGTATTTGATCTCAGTGTGCTGCAGTGGAATAATGTGACTCATACCATTACATCGGGGTATTGCTGCTGTTCTCTGTCTCTGGGCGCCGATGTGTCGTTCACGGGGTGCCGTTGCCCCGCCGGTATTAATCTTAATACCAAAACTACCAGCAACACTCCTCTTAATGCACTTTAATCCACTGCACCGTACCGCGAGTCACCAGGAAACCACAACAGGAAAAAGCCTACTTTGCCTGAGGAAAAAACATCCCCTGTGTCAAGTGAAGTCAAGTAGAATCACTGTGTTTTTTTTATATAGCCAGTATTTATGTAGCGCACTAAAACCACAGCTGAAGAGTGCTTTCCAGTAGAGACACACGATTTGTGCCACAGATATAAATATTAAGATTAAACCTCTACAGTATTACACATGATTCAAATATAAGGATTAAGACCCTACACTGTTGCCCATGAAGTTGGAATAATTTTCAAACACATTCCTCTTTTTATTTCTATTTATACACATCAGTAATCACTTTTGACCAATGGTTACATACTGAGTCCCAGTTGTCATGTGAAGCCAATTCTGACTGAAGAGTGGGACGTCCTGCCCACTGACACCATCAACCAGCTGGTGGACAGAATGCCACCATGTCTTAATGCATTGATCTGTGTCAGGAGGAGCCAATATTAGTGACATTTGAAAGAGTTATATTGGACATTCAAATGCATGAAATCCCCTCGAATATGTGCTTCTTATTATATGAGCAAGGTTAAAAATTGAAACGAAACCCTTAATCCTACTGTTCAATACCCTCAATTTAGTTTAAGCCTGAATGCACAGTTTGCAAAAGTTAATGCACACTTTTTTTTAAATCAAGAATAAATCACATAGTCACAATCATTCCATGAGAAGAGATAAAAAAAATATTTTATTCCAACTTTATGGGCATATATATATTAAGTATTCTAACAGACTACATGACTGATTTAATAAGTAAAGCTAAGACCCTACAAAAAAATACATGGACAACCCAAAAAATAATGTTTTCTTGCTTACTTTCAAATAGTTGTGGTGAAAGTAAAGGGAAAAGAGAAAAGGATAGCTGAGACAAACAAGCTTCAGAGCCAGAATTACATGCAAAAAGGTAAAGGGAGAGCGAAGACAGAGAGGAAGAGGTCGAACGACAATGAAAAAATAAAAATAAAGGAGAAAACTGATGAGGATTGTATGTCGATATAGAGCTACACTATTATATACAAGTATTATATAGGGTGGCTGTGGCTCAGGTAGTAGAGCGAGTTGTCCTCTGATCACAAGGTTGGTGGTTCGATCTCTCCACAGTCGAAGTGTCCTTGGGCAAGACACTGAACTCGAAGTTGCTCCCAATGGCAGGCAGCACCTTGCATGGCAGCTCTGTCGCCATTGATGTATGAATGTGTGTGTGAATGGGTGCCGCAAAGGTAGAAAAGCACTATATAAGTGCAGACCATTTACCATTTAAACTATAAAAAGATGGATGACACCTGAACTGCAGCTTTAAAGCTTAATGGCCCTTACCATCTTGCTTAACTTGCCCTAACACTCAGCGAATATGAAAAAAAACGAAATAAAAAAGCACTCACACTCTTGATTATGCATCACTTTAAGCCTTCAGATGATTCAACCTCTCGTACAATTATCATGGACAGAAAACGTTGTCATCAGGTTAAAAAAAAGTTATTTCTGCTGAAAAGTTGGACATTTCACAAGGGGTTAAATGGGGATTGACTCACTCTTGAAGCCAGCCTCAAGTGGACACTCAAGGAACTGCAGTTTTTTTTCAGAATTTGCATTGGTTTCATTTCTCAGCCCCCACTGGAGCTGCACACCGCTCGCAATCCATACTTCAGAGTTTGCCGGTGTGTGGTGAGCTATGGTTCACACACTTGATTCATCCTGTGCTTCCCCACGACCGCGCCGCCGGCAGTGGCTGCTGTAGTATTATAAAGCAGAAATAAATGAGTGCAATGAGGCGGCTCCCTGCTGAGCTGCAGGTCCGTGTGTCATCAGGCCTCCAGCACAATGAATGAACGCAACAGCACGGCCGCTGACCAGCTTTGACTGCCTGCAGACACAAACAGGCCTCGTATGATGTAAGCTGGCAGCTTTGGCTCAGGGCATTCGCTGAAAAATGATTTCAGCACATGTGTGCGTAAATACTGGCCACAGTAGTCTCAGGGTGGATTTTCCAGAACAATGCCAACGGTGTCAGGAGAGCAGGATGACGAACAGTGTGTTCAATGGGGTAAACATTTCAGATGACACCTCGCTGTTTTCCTATTAGCAAAACGAGATTGTGTTGCTTTTCAAAGAGCCACATATCCGTTGTAGAAAACAAAAATCACATAGCTGGGAGGATTGCAAACTCTTTTGGGTTTTTTTTGACAAGCACATGCTTCATTTAGTAATCACCACA